CTGCTCCACAGCTTCACATGGACATCTGCCTCTGTCTCTCAAAATGAGCCAGGTCTGATTCAAACTGGACACAGCTGCAAGTTCTGGGACTGTCTTCCGTAATGAAATCTTCACATAACACAAAAGCCTGGTGTCTTTCCCCACACAACAAGATGACAAAATGTACACCAATCTGCATCCACTGGATTGCATATAAATCCTAGTGTTTCTCAAACTTTTTCACACTTAGAAAACTCTAGAAAGGACTAACTTAGAGGACACCAGAAAGGACCCAAAAATGTGAATGTGAATAAAATACCACATTTTGTGTACGAGCAATACAGTAAATGGCAATAAAATATGTTTGCAAAAAAAAAAAAAAAAAAAAAAAGGAAATATAGGCAGCATAATTTTCTGTGTAGTTATAGTAAAAGCTAAGTTTGTTCATATATGTGATTCAAAGATGACTGAAATAAACTGATGGCTGGTTCCTATAGATACTGCCTAGTGTCCTCAATTTGCCCCCTTCATCTGTGCATAACATGTACAGTTAAACTCCCAGAGCCCAGACCCTGCACACTCAGGTACAACAGCTGCTCCTTTGCAACATGACACTGACCCAAACTCACTGCTGTATTCCACATTTAGTCCCAGAACAAACGCGAGCTATTTCTGCTCCACAGAAACAAAGAGGAGGCAGAAGGAAGTTGATCCCAGTATAAGTAAATAGATTTAGCTGCAGAGCACTCAGATACTGTGGATGGATACAGTGCATGCCACAACAATAAACTCCCTGTTGGCCACAAGCATTTCCTCAAAGTCAAGCCGCCCCAAAAACGTTGATTCAAATGTTACGAGGCATTTAAATCAGCCTATGTGGAAGAAGAACAGTCTGGTATCTGATTTATATATTTATATTGTGTGAATTGGACACAGAGGGTAAGCAAGCATGCTTCACATGAGCCAGATGTGTGGTGAAGGTACATAAATTATACTGATATTTTTTCAGAAGGGGGGATGGGTTCCTCCTCTATTTTGCAGTTACCCAATTCAATTAATTCTGTTGTCCCACTGTTGTTAAAAGGAAGGGCTGAAAAGTATATTGACAGGATTTTAGTCCATATTCTACATTTAACAAATTTTGTTCGCTATAAAATTCTCTAAAACAACACAATGAAAACTGCGATAATGCTCACTCATTTCAAGTGTAAACACTGTACTTGTGGAGAAGCTAAACTAAGAAAATAATTACAGACTTTCACAGTAACAGACTTCTTTCTACGTCCATTGTCCAACCAACAGTTTTGTAGTCCTCTTCACCATTCAAGTTTATAATCAGACACCGTATTAGCCTGTATGCTGCCGACACCAAAAAAACTCTAGGCAACACAGAAACACAGAAAATTAGCTACTCCTAATTGTTTTGGTGTAGTTCATTTATCCACTTTAGTATGATTCTTACCAAAACAGTCGCCAATCTGTATGATTTAACCCAGTCCAAAAACATGACAAAAACAGAAAAAAATAAACCCTATTCACACAAATCCATACAAATTTGGGCAACATTATGAAGGTGAGTGCAATATCCTCCTCCTCTTTCACATCCCAAGTTGTAAAAAAAAGTTGTAAAAAGACTTCTCTTAATGTTAGTGGTGAGCAGATTACTGAAATAATACTGTGAATAAGATATGCAAAATTTGTCTGATAAGTAAACCTCAACTCACACAATTAAAAATACAAAAAAAAACAACAAAAAAAACAAAAAAAAAAACCCTCCAAAAAACAGAAATGTGTTAAAGCAATATAATCTGGACATGATTATCAGGATCTTCCAGAAACTATAGAGACATTAATTTCATCAATACAGCCCAACCCTATCTTAAATTTAACATAATCTCAGTTGAGTACCTTTCTAGACACATAATATTTGAAGTTTAACAGGCCAAAAGACCCTCCCTTAGGCCATAAAGGAGGTCACGGGGAAAATCCCTAAATCTGGACATGTGAGAGTGGGGTTGCCTAGATCAGAGAGAGGAGAAGACACACACAGACCACTACGGACAATGACTTGAGCCTGCAGCTATTCAGGCTTCTGGGAGAGACAACCCAAACTTTCCTGAGCCCAATCCATCATGGAGCAAGCACAACCAACCAAGAGTATCATGTCTCTTTCCACTATTTTTACCAGACCGCTTCCGGCTGTTGCGTAAAACTACATTACGGGCGTCTTAAATACATAGGGATGACTGTGCAGGGACCGCAGCTTCATAATATGAGCTGGAAGGATTGGCTGTGGCTGAATACGAGAGACACTTGCCACAGAAAAAATACTTTCCCACATAATTGAAATGAGATGAAGGAACAGCACTGTAAGACATGCTAAGGATCGCAGAGCAGTGCATTAGCTTTAATAATAATAATGGGTGGGTTTATTATAATATATTGTGATGTGTGAGCTACTGGGTCCACTGTCCAAATAATTTCCCTTGTGGATCAATAAAGTTTGTCTCAGTATAAGTCTAAGTCCAGGGCTCAACAAAGTGGATAGAGAGGTTAGTTGGGACTTCATGTTCTTTCCATGATACTGGCGTCCTTCCATAGTTCAGTAGATTTTACGTGAACTGGTGCGTTTTTTACAGTAATAACAATGTCTACGTATGTGTCTTTAAGTATTAGCCCTGTGACTCTAACAGGCCACTAGGGTGTCCAACTTAAAACCACACATTTCTCTTTGGGATAGGCTCCAGATATCCTGACAAACATTCACAAACATTTGATATGGCAGCCTGTGCTTTGCAATTTCCCTGATGAAGCCATCTTTTGGAGTGACATAAGTGGCTAATCTCAACCATTCCTACTTGAAATATAAATCTTTTTCTCATTATGTAAATTTCAAGACTGAAGAATAAATATATCACATAATATTTTGTGAATGATGTGGATATAAATCTGACATAGTCAGTACTGTTTTCACATACTTGCTAAATACCACATACCCTGCTGCAAGTAGATGGAGTCTAGCCATTGCTTTGGACATTTTATAATGAATTCAAACTCTCTCTTCTCTGAAAGTATTTAAATCTGCCTGTGCCAAAAATATGACTTTAATGTCCCAAGTCCTTTGAAAATAGATATAATAAAGCATAGACTAGTAGTCAATATGTGTGCCACGCCTAATACCCAAAGTAACAGGACACCGTTACTTACTTCAAGCTGAAATAAGCTAAAAGATAAATGAATAAATGTTTGGTTTAATACATGATAAAGAACACTGGTCTGTTATGTGGCCTGGTAGTTTATAGGACTGAATTATGCCACTTGGAATGTTGTAGTCAAACTCAAAAAAGTCTGATACGCTATACTGTTATTTAGGTAGACCTCAACTCCCCAAACAGCGGAATGGTAAATATAATTTTAGCGCGCCACATGTGCTGCATTTTCCAAAAGATCAGATGGAAAAACATTGCAGCTAAAACGTGGAATGGCTCACCATATACAGCAGACAATGGTAGTGCGAGCATTACAAAAGCAGAGCTAAATTTGACTTGGACACTGTGGTCAAATCTGAAGCCCATATAAACATCTGTCTACTCAAACTTTAGACCTTAAGAGTCCAGATTTGAGGCAAAACAGTCATATAAAAATTTTATAGTAAATCTGTGTTAAATCAAGTCAGCGTTATAGGGTTTCTCACATTTACTTCCCCTGACAGTTATTTTGAGTTGAGCAACAGCAGAAGCTCTTATAGTCATATCCATTTAGCTGATTCCGCGTGTTGTCAGCAAAAATATAAACCATTTTTGAGAGGGTTGTCAGCCTTGCCAGAAGAGTTATGAATGATACAATTTACATGTGAATAATCTTGTATCTGATTTCAACGGATCACAAACCAGTGAACAATCATCCTCCAAAGTCTAGAAATACAAATCGGCAGAAATTACAACGATGGATCAATATACAAATCAAGCTAAGAGGTATTAGATTGGCTGTAATAATCATAGCAAGAAAGGCATAAAATTAAGAATGTTTGTGCAGCTAAAATTATAGACTTTATTTATTCAGATTTTTGGGGGTGAAAAGATTATAATAAATAGCTTCCTTGAGATTATGGTGTTAACTGGGGCTGAAGTTTGTGTGGTAATGGTTTTGACTCCTAACCAGTTTTGGAAGTGACATTGTTTGTGATACATTGTCGTGCTGAAACAGGAAAGACCCTCAGCTGCTGCCAGAAAGCACACCATTGTATCAAAGGTCCACTATCAGTCTATTTTAGAGAGAGGATTGTTTATGAAATGCTCGGCAAAGTTCCCCAGTCAGTAAGTTTTCAACACAAGATTGTGTTTCTTCAAGTCTGTTAAATAGCTCACTTGATGTTCAGCCAGTTTCCTGTTACTTAGTGAGGTAGATGCTAATAATGGTCCAATGAGGCAGAAAAGCAGAAAAAATATTAATACAAATTTAGGAACAATTTTAACACCGAGAAGAAGTTCACCTAATCTTGAATATGGTAAAGTGTGAGTGGATTAGGGATATAGCTGCTCAGTCCTCCTGGGTTTCAAGATTGAATAGTTTCTAAAAAATTATGCAGAAATGAATTTAATATTTGAGACCAGCACAAACTGTGGCTGTATTGACCTCTGTTGCTACTAGAGAGAGCATGCATAGTTCTGTCAAAATAACACGTTTTGGATCCACATAAAAACAATCAATTGTAACTTTTTTTCTAGAAATTCACAAAAGAGCCAACAAAACACTACAAACCCACAAACCTAACATTTTCAATCTGGGACATGTAAAACATCACCAGACTTCAATTATGTGACCACACTGATGAAACATGAATAGTAGTAATCCAATCAAAGGCATATAATATATAATAAATCCATCTTATTTGACATAAAAAGTACAGAATGTGGACCCTCGGCACGCCACACTTCATAATAATTAGATCCAGGCAGCTCATATAAACACAGCATGTGTCAGAAGCATAAAACATCACAAGTGCGTGGTTGGCTGTTTACCTTTGGTCTGCTCCTGCTCAGTCCAGCTCCAGCACTTCACCAGGGACGATCCAATCTGCAGCAGACAGTGAATATTTATTATTGCTCATGATCAGATTTCCTTTGGTCGATCTGTCTCCCTCTCTGACTACTGTGAAACCATAATGGCCTCTGACTCGGTTCAGCCTTTTGCAGCATAAGTCCAAATATTTACGAGCTTACAATGTTAACAAGTAGTCCATTATGAGGATAGTTGAAGTACTGTTCCTAAATGTTGGATAAACACAACAACAAACAAATCCCATGGGTGACAAAGCATGTAGCAATGTATTATGTTTGTTAATTTTTCTTGATGGCCCTTTTTGATACAACCTCCATTTACCCTGGATTAGAGCTGACAAAAGCTGGTCACGTGGGTGCACTTTTTGGAACATATCATAAAAGATGATAGAAGTTAAATGCTATAATTAGGTTAGGTAAATAGCAAACATATCATTTTTAAACACAAATTTGAAGGAGAGCAAATGCAACACATTTTAACACTGACACTATGACACCACCTTGTATGTCTTCTTAAGGGCTATAGACTTCAAAGGGCAGCTGTCAACACAACAAATGCACGGTCAGCAGGTGGCACCACAGTGCACGTTTCTGTGTGTGTGTGTGTGTGTGTGTGTGTGTGTGTGTGTGTGGTAGGACCCTGCTGAGATTGCTGAAAATGTGTGATCCAAAACTAAACAGACAGACCACAACATTCAAACTGGTGCTATCCTTGTGTCTATACAGTTTAACTTCCTGGGTCAGGTTAAACAATAACTGTAACACAAAGCTGCAGCCATCCGTGACTTCATTCATAGCACTATAAATATGTCAGCAGGTCACATGGGGTCTCATTCAAACACACTGCAACTGTAGCCTCAGATCATTAGCAGTTCTCATATGATCAGGAGCTGACGTCTGAAACAACAAGCAGTGTTTTGTTTAGCAACACACAGCAAGAGCTCCTGCCTTATCACAATATAAGAGAAAACATCAGCTGGTTATGGAAATATTAAATGCTACTAAATATGTGTCTCAATATGTGGTTCATTTACTTGCCATTATGAACTTACACAATAACTATACAGTCTGGATCATCAAATTGCCCAATCATTTCCAGCAAAGACGATGACAGAGGAGAGAATTCCACCACACCTGTTTTTACAACATTGTACTTGTATTTTCAGTAGTTGTTAGTGTTTGCTGATTGACATTTTTTTTGGATCGTGATGGGCAAAAGAATGAAAAGAAATGTTTTGGCAAAGCTTCAGAACACCCCAAGGATACAGTGTTTTTGTAAATTCTGTACCACTACAAGACAAGGCCAGGTGTGAACAACAAACTACCATGGCAATGAAATATCAAATAAACATTAGATTAGATAATTAAAATACCCTGAAACTTGTATTGTCTTCATACAAAAACTTTCAAACTCAGTTTTGGTAGCAAGAAAAATGCTTGATACTTTGATACAGTTTTTATACACTTTGTTTCAAAAATGCAATGTAATTTTCAACAAAAATAATAATAGATTCTTAAATAGTACAATTTGGTCTTTCTGAGTATCATTTTTTTGACAATCCTACTGTGAATAAGATCATTTTCAGTTGATGTATCTTTACATTGTTTGCTATCTGGTCCCATTACTGCTGAGATGACAACATAATAGTCCATGTTGTAGAGGAAACCCCCATTCACAGTGGATCAGGGACTGCATTTTGCATTACAATCAGTTGACTGTATCCATCTACAATCCAAAACAACATATGGCTTTTAAAAAAAGATGACTAATGCTTCAATCGTTGACAGCCAGATTGCTCATCAGATAAAGAAGGCAGGAAAAGACTTGGAAAAGATCTGTCCCTTTTTACACAGTTTTATTCCCACACTTTCAATGAGTCACAGTGGGTGGATCCACTACTAACATGTAATGGACAAAATGATTCCATATGTAACCCCCACAACTTATCAATTCACTTGTATTCATCCCTGTAAGTATTTCAGAATTTTCAACTGCGATCGGGGTGATTAATCATCTACCCATGATCAAAGTATCAATATAAAAAGGGGAAAAATGACATCACAAAACGCAAATAGTAGTTTCTGGTTTGCTGTGTCACTGTGTAATACTTGGTTAGCGGCTTGTTGTTCTGAAAGGCTCTTATTGTCTGCTCCAATGGTTCATGCTTTAATGTGGTCGGAGTAGATGGGACTGATGTGGTTGTGACATAGTGCTTTACACATTTCACTACAGGAAACAAAAATGATGTGTCATCCAAAATAGTTCCTACTTAAAACATGGAAAAACAGTCAATAGGGCTTATTTGGTTATGAAATAACTGTTCCATAATGAGCGGCAAAATAACTGGGAGAGACGCATAAAAAAACTATATACTTAGTTGATAGCAGTAAGTACAGTTAACAGACGTCATAACATGAAGTAAAAGCATTAGTGGCAATGTATACAGGTATAAGGATGCAAACACAGCACACTTGTGTCATTACATACAATATTTAATGTGTTTACTGGGACTATTAAATGGCCAAGTGTTGGCTCACCCATCAGCAGATTGACTGTTCCTATTGCTCAACAAAACTTTTTACAGTTGTGAAAGGACAGGAGCTGCCAAATCTGTGGATATAACTATTTCTAAGACCAAGAACAGCAGATCTAGGAAATTACTTCAGTGCAAATAAGACCCATGGAATCTCATTAAGGATAAATTATGAACAATAAGCTGCTTTACAAAATATGTAACAGGTTTTAAAAGATTTTTCTGAAGCCAGTATGCTCAAATTCAGTTTATTAAATGCAAGTGAAGAGAGGTTTTCTGTAAAGAATTACTGGAACAATGGTTGTTTTAACAACTTAACCTAATGCGTTAGGTGTGCAAATGACACTATGCGAGATGCTGAATTGTTTGTATGCGGTTTTGAGCCTGGGGTTGTGTTTTAGTAAGTGAGAGTGAAGGAGAAGGCATATGTGCACTCTTCTTACACATACCTAGGACAGCCTGTCTCTGGGCTGTTCATAGTTTAGTCTACAGCAGCAGCAGCAGCTGAAGGCCGCAGACAAACACCAGGGTGAAATAAGGAGACAACCAGACCTCATGTTTTTAAGACAAATCCTCAAGAAGCCTTCGCCAAATGTTTCTAATACACAAAGAGGACAAAGATGACGAGAAGTACAGTACCATTGTTCACAAAGTCCTTAGATACCACAAACACTATTTTCACAAATAGAAAAAAACAAAACACATGAGCTTAAATAAAATTCAGCTATGTGTAATATGCATCAACCCCAAGGATAATGTAATATTACATCAGGAAAAAAACAACAAAGGCAATTAATGCATTTAGATCTAATGTAAATCTTATGCAGCTAAAGATGCCACAGTGCCATTCTGCCCAGTAACCAGCTCACCCTGCTAACACACACTAACACACACTAACATACGCTAACACATGCTAACAGACAGAGCCTATAGCCACTCTGCACATCCATGTCTGCACAAGGCCAGACGTCAGCTCACATTACTGCTGCATGCTCCTGCTGCACACTGCACTCACCCTCACCCTGGGGTTCAAAGCCTGCTTCTACATTCACGTGGACAAGGGATTTTAGGTTAGCTTTAGAAGGCTAAAGCCTCCAACCTAAAGAGGAAAACTGACACTGACACAAATGTTTTCAATACTGAATACAAAGAGCAATTTATTTTCATTAAACTATATAAGGCAGATTACTGTTACTACCTGTGAACTACTCTTCCAGCTGAGTATAATTATTTCTATATGTTGATGTAAATTGAATGACTTTGGTTCTGCTCTAAGGCTAAAGGTGCCCATATTCTACAGCCTCCATGCCCCATGTCAGGTCTGAGCGAACGATGAGGCCCAGGGGCACACTACTGGGCACCGTGCCAGCTCCACATGTCAGTTTTGGTTGTATTTGCAGATCACTAAAGTTTTATTGGTCTAAGGAGATTTGAAAAGGTGGAAATAAAAATGGTAATTTGTCTGCCATCTGCATAAAATGGCTAGCTTGGAGCTACTATGGCTACTAATCTTAACTCTTTGGATTCGGCCTGGCAAAGCCTGTGTGCAAATGGTATCTTTAGCCAGATATGATGTTTTTTTGACAATAAATTATTGTGTTTTCTAATTTTGAAGTATCATTATCACATTAAGCCAACTCTAAATTATTTTATAGCTTCACATTTTAAACCAATGAACAAATATGAAAATGCCATAGTTTCAGTGTTTTGACCATGGTAATTCATGCAAGAAATTTTGAAAGCCAGATTATCTCATCCTTATGCACCCAATGTAGCTGAATGCTGGGGGCCTGAGTCTTGCAGAAAATCTCTCTATTTCAGATGAACAGTTTGTCTGTGAACCTTAAACACAAGAAGCCTTTGAACAGCAGCGTCACATGGAGAAGCTCTGATCAGAAGCAACATGCAGATCCTGAGCAGGCACACAGGCACACGCAAGCTCAGTGCTGCAGTGGAGCGGCCACTGCAGAGCTGTCAGGAAGAATCACAGCCCTGAGCTTTAACACAGCAGTGCCATAGACTCAAACAAGGTCAGACATGCACTGGGTTAAACTACTGCACAGGGCAACGCACACTGGCCAAACTCAAGTCCATTTAGCAACACAATCTTACCCCGATGACTATTTCTTTCAGCCTTCCCACTACCAAGCACAATTAACACTATTATGCATGTTTATTTGGGAATATTAATATTAATTGGCAGAAGCTCTTATGCCCAATAATATGTGAAAATATTGTTAATATTTTTCAAAATATGAATCAAGGGTTTAAACAAGTGCAGACATTTTGTTCTACTTTTATTACTATAGATTACACAGCGGTTCTCTTAACACTCTCGCCTATGATGAGAGATGAGAAGATGGAATTTTGGAATGATTATTTATAGTAACAAAAAAGTCTGCCTTAGTTAGTTCAGTTTTATGTGTATCACTCAGTACCACAACAGGGCCTTACCCAAAAGAGATGTAATATTTAATTGTAT